TGAGGGCAATGAATGTACAAATGCGCTTTACACAATTGATGTGTGTATGGATTGTGATAAGAGTTGTATGAGCCCCTAATAAAATGATTTTTTAAAAAATATGGGGCCAAACTCCAAGTTCATAGGGAAGCACTTCAGACCCTCACATAGAGGTTATTTAGTCTTATTTTAGATACAGTTCTAACCATCTTGATGATCTGATTTCTTTGTTGCAAGTTAAACCAGCCCATCACAGCCCTCTTCCTCTAGAAACTGCTCTTTCCCACAGAAGTGCCCCCAGCAGTCATTCTTTTATTCCATGACCCTGCCCCCTTGGCTCCAGCTGATTGCACTGCAGGAGGGAGCCTGACCCAGTAGGCCAATCTGATTCAATCCTCTGGGCTTATGAAATTGGATAGAGGTAGTTCTTTATTCTCTACAAGGGACTATAAACAAAGGTTGGTCATGTTTGAGGAGAAGCTGAGAAGAATATTCTGCAGAAGCAAAAGTATGAAGTATATGAACAACAAGAAGCAGAGACTAGGGAGAGATTCAGAAAGTAGATCCTTTGGTTCCCGTTGAGTTTCTGAGTCTTAGTTCTGCCCCTGATTCATGTCCTAGGTCTGCTGTATCAAAGTATGACAAATTAGGTGGCTTAAAACAATAGAAAGGTTTTCTCTCACAGTTCTGGAGGCTAGAAGTCCAACTTTAGGGTCTCACCAGGGTCATACTCTCTTCTTGGGCTCTAGGGGAAGACCCTCTTGTCTCTTCTGGCTTCTGGTGACTCCAAATGTTCCTTGGCTGGTAGCAGCATCACTCCAATCTGTGTCTGTCTTTCCCTGGCTGTTTTTCTCTTTATATCTATCTGCCTCTGAGACTTCTTACAAGTACACCAGTTATATTGGAACCACCCCACCCAGTGTGACTTCATGTTAACTATGTCTGCGATGACACTCTTTCAAAATAAAGTCACATGCACAGGTACCAAATTTAGGACTTGAATGCATTTTTTTTTCCTTTTTGTATTTTTATTTATTTATTTTTTAACATTTTATTAGGGGCTCATACAACTGTTATCCCAATCCATACACACATCAATTGTGTAAAGCGCATTTGTACATCG